TTAATTATTTCATAACAAATAACAAATGTATTAAATTGGAAAGATTCATGATACCCTAAAGTTCTTGTACTGTTCATCATTCATTTTTTTAAATATATTCTGATTCGTATTATGTCCACTAGGTAGTTCTGGTGATACCAAATTCTTGGAAGGCGGTGATGTTCCTAATAGTGTTTCTGGTTGGAAGTACTGTGATTGAGCCTTCAAATTTCTAATTTCCTCAATTAGATGATCGACTATTGAACGAAGTGCTGCGATTTCTATCATATATGTAAATAGTGTAAACTTAATAAAAACATTCTGTATTATTATTAAATCAATACATTATACTGTTACATTCCGAACTTCTACTGTGGTGATGAGAACTTCTATGATCATGACAGCTTGGACTTCAACTTCTATAACGTAAACTTCAACTATGACTACAATCATAACGACTTGGACTTTGACTAAGATTGCGGCCATTACTACGACTATACTATGGACTATCGTTTCTGCGATGAAGAACTAAACATCTTTGTGAGGGTGTTGTTATTTGAAAGGATTTTGACTTTCAAGTCATAGTATAAGAAACACTGTTTATCTAAATGAAATAAACTGAAATTTGAATAGGATATAAAAGGAATTAGTACTATTTCACTTCTAAAAATTTTCATGTGTTTTATTTACTAAAATATTCACAGGATCACCGATAGGCCTTTATTTTGATGTATCAAATTATAAACAAAAATACGTATCTTTAATATTTGCGATTTTTTTTTTTGAAAAAAAAAGTCAAAAAAAAAGTCACAAAGAAACGATTGTGAGCAAATTGTGTCCTTATATACTGTTTATGTTAGCTCGAAAGAAACTTTCTCATTACGCAGTGATGATGTCATTGATTTCACTTAATTAGTTTAACTACGCTATCGATATTTAAGTTGATTGAGTATCACATAATTAAATATTGATATGCATTAAAAGTTTATTTAATTATTTTAAGTTGATTAATTGAGTATCGCACAATTAAATATTGATATTTTTATAAAATTTATTTAAATTAATATTGATCCTTATTTCTGCAAATACATCTTATATTCTTTTTGAAATATTTTTGAATTTATTAAAGTTTCGCTAAACTTAATTACAATGGTATGTAAATCAAAAAAAACTTTTGTAAAGGATACGTCTGAATCTTTAAAAAAGGTGCGTCATACAAAAACTTCAAGTATCTCAAATTCAAGGTGACATGTGATATGTAACTGTAATTTATGTAAAGGTTGTAAAGTTGATCCACGTACAAAAGAATCGCATATGAAAGAAAGAGAATTATCGATAAGGAAATCTTCCAATGTAGTAGTTGAAAAAGATATAGACCAAATAAATGCTTCAGATAATTCCATGGATATAGATATTGGTGGTTTTGATAATGATAGTTCTAGCAGTAAACAAGAGTTACATGGGTTTAATTTCCTTGTTATGACGCTAAAAAAACTATGATTAAGTAATCATGGTGGTCAAAGCAGAATCAATTATCCATTAGTCATAATTGAACAGTATTTTAGTGATGAAGATCAAAATGTCAATGAAGAAACAAATTTTAGTGATAAAGAAGGTGAAGATGAAGACGAAAATGATTCTTCAGGACAACATATTGATTTAAATGCACCAGAAACTGGTTATAAAGATAAAGATTTTGATGCACACAATATGGATATTAATGAAGGATTTTTGTGGATCGTATATTGGATCTTTAAATTTCAAGAGAGAAATCAGTTATCTGATACAGCTACCAACGCTCTTATAAAATTTATAAGATATGTGTTGATCTCTATTGATGCAATATCGTATTCAGAATTTCCAACATCATTATATAAAGCATGCAAATTATTTATTATAAAAGATCAAATAATCAAATATGCAACTTGCAAAAAATGTTACAAATTATACGCAGTGAGAGATTTGCCAACTGATAGACCTTACCGTTGTACATTTCAAGATTATCCGAATCATCTGACGGTTAATTTAAGATCCAATTGCAATAATATCATTACAAAACAGGTATCTACGAATGAAGGTACAATATATCAACCGTTACTGATTTATCCTGTTGCTAATATTAACAAAGACTACAGAAATTATACAATATAGAAGGATTCGAAAAGTCCTGCAGAAAATGGGCAGATCGATCAAATAACGATCAGGAGTTAACCAATATATATGATGGAAGAATTTGGAAAACATTCAAAGATTCAGATAATAATAAACCATTTTTCAGATATGAAGTATCAGATAGTTATTTGGGAATCATGTTAAACCTTGACTGGTTTTAACCCTTTAACAATTCCCAATATAGCATAGGAATAATATATGCGGTTGTGTGTAATCTTTCGTGAAGCGAAAGATTTAAACCTTCCAATATAATTACAATTGTGATTATTCCTGGACCTAACGAGCCTAAATTACATCAGCTAAATCATTATTTGACTCCAGTAGTCGATCAATTTATTAATCTATGGAGAGGAATTATATTAGAAAAAACATATGAAAGCCTTACTGGCAAATTTATATAGGTAGCAATAATATGTTATGTGTGTGACATACCGGCAGTAAGAAAACTTTGCGGTCATATATTAGCGCATGTAGCTTATTATAAGTGTAAAAAAGTGGCAGATTACATTATAAGAAATCATTTGCACTTTAGCAGATTTGATAATATAGATGAGTGGTTTTCAAAAAGAAATACTGAAGAAATAATAAATAATGCAACTTTATGGAAAAATTGCAATACAGAAGATGCTTGAAAAAGGCATGTATCTGAAAATTTAGTATGATGGTCAGAAATATATAGACTTTCATATTTTGATCCTGTTCAGTTTCTTATCATCGATCCCATGCACTGCCTATTTCTCGGTATTGCTAAATGGATTGGTATGAGGTTGTGAATAGAAGAGGGTCAATTAACACTGAAAAATCTGGAAGTGATACAAGAACGAGCGAATAGAATGAAGTTACCATCAGATATCGGTAAAATCTCAAGCAAAATAGCAACAGATAAAGGTTTTTTGGGCTTTACTGCCAACCAATGGAAAACTTTTATACTTGTATATGCTACTACAATTACATGGAATTTACTTTCGAATGATAATAGGAAAATTTTAAGTTATTTTATACGAGTATGCAATATTCTTGTATGTCATATTATATCTAAAACTAGATTAGAAGAGGCTCATCAATATCTTCTATCCATGGTGATGCTGGTCTAAAAGACCTATAGGCCAGAAAAAATAACACCAAATATGCATTTATGTTTACATATTTGTGAGTGCGCATTTGATTATTATCCGTTATATGCATTTTGATGCTATAGCTTTGAACGAATGAATGAACTATTAGGTAATATAATATGATTTAATATTTTATTTTTATTATTTCTGACATTTAACAAGAATTTTTATATCAGGCTCTTTACATAGTAGCAATCAACATTTAGAGCTAGAATTACTTAAAATTGTTCAACGTTATACTTTACTTAATGAGCTATCAACACACGCTAATGACAATCAGCATCTTTTGGAGTACTTGCCTTATATTGCTTTTAAAGAAACAGTTGGTAGCCTTGCTGTTAATGACGATTTTGATTTGAAAGAATATTTTGAATTTTTATCAATGTCAAAGAATGTAAAAGAAAATGTAGGAGTAGGATCAGAAACCTTTCTGAGGGAACTAATTAAACCAATGAAAAAAGTGGCATTACCACCGAAAGTATTAGATTTATTAGTAAAATATTATCAAAATGCATATGGTTGTTCTTTTGTTGAATTATCAAATATTCATAATTCTTCATTGGAATCAATAATAGTATTACCGAAAGTAGACTATTTTGGTAGATTACAGATAGGAGCTGAAGTTATTAGTTCAACATTTGTAGCACGACATGTCCAGTCGGTAAACATATTATCACAATTTGTCTTAGATAATGGTAATATGATCGATATCTATCCCAGCCAAGTTCAATATTTTTTTAAGCATATGATACAATTACCAGAAGGTGAAATGATGCACTCATTAGTATTTGTAAGGTGGTACAAAAAACCAGATGATAAAAGGAATCGATTTCATTATCAAATCGATGATATCTTGAAAATTTATAACATAGAATTGTGGAATAAGAGTTTTTATAATTTAGGTTACGATTGTATAATATCTATTCATAGTATCTTAGGACGATTCGTTGTGGATAATATGAAATTTGGCAAAAAAATCCTAGAAAATATTTGTCAGTGATTCTAATAAATCGAAAAATTTATATGTAAATAATTTAAACAATTAAACAATAATGAAATATAAATAAACTTTACTATATTT